GATGGATGGATGGATGGATGGATGGATGGATGGATGGATGGATGGACTATATCCATTAATTTGAAGACTCTGGGAGAAACCATTTCAAACCCTCCAAATCACATGCAGCACGTGATCTAATCAGCTTTGTTTACTACTAACTCTTTTTAGACAGATATACTCCCACCATGCAGACCCAATTTTTAATTCTTTTATAAAGCAAGTCATACACACAGTCATCTTTCCCTTTCCTAACCCACTGCTGTTTCTAGCACAAACTTTTAGGAAACATTATGTCCTTTTATTTGGTTTTCAGTACAGTCATCATTGAGTAATAAGAAATCTTTTTTTCTAAGTGTGTGTAGATTATGTTTGTAAAAAAAATAAACATAAAAATAAAATCATCTCTCTTTCCAGCTTTAAACAACTTGGTGTCTAGGGAGGTTGGTCAGTGTGCCCACTTCCTTTCTTTCTTTTTCACAGAACTTTCCTACTTCATTTGAAATATTGAGAAACAATAAGAGAAGCTAGATGTTTCCTCATGAGACTTTAATAGTACCATATTCTGTATTGACATGTAACATAACCTTGGTACTTGGTAGTTCATTATCATGTAAAATTTACAGATCAGTATATGACAGCACAAGTTTTGAAAGCAGCAATCTCTGCCCAGTGAGAAGTTACTAATACCAGGACTGGAACCCACAACTGACTAGTGTAGTTCTACAACTGAAGGTCATTCTCATTGCCTAAAGTGAAGTGCCCAGCACACAATATGCCAGTTTTCAAAGGTCCCATTCATTTAAAATAACTTTAGAATCATAATGCTTCTATCATATAAAGAACCATATTAAGCCTTAGAGCCTACATTAATACAAATATAGATTCAGGTATCATTCAATCAAAACTAATGCTTAGTATGAATTAATAAATATGTACATACATAATACAATTAGTTCCGCAAAGTATAAGGAATTTTAATCAGAAAGTCAATAGGTCAACATTCTTTAAAAATGTAAACTACAACTTTTAAAAAATGCTCGCTAGCATGCTATACTTTTGAAGGCTACACGTGCCGTTGGCCAGACTGTGCCATGTGCTATCAAGTCTCCTTCGGGGGGATAAAATCAATCATCATCTGTCGATCATGGAAGATTCTTTTAACAGAGCCGGCCGTGGCTTCATCTCCATGTCCCACACACTTATACATCTGGGAGATTCTGTAAGATCTGTCTCAAGGAAGCACAGGCGACCACATGAGCATCCGAAGGGAGATTGGCCAGCGACTGGATCAACTTCTTGACTATTGTCTTCAAACACTGGTGAGCAGCATTCAAGTCTCTGTCAAACTGCTGTCCTTCGATCTGCAGAGCCAAGTGGCTGCAGATGTTTCTAAATTCAACGCTATCCTGAAACAAACAGTAAACACAGATATGAAATTAGATCAATGTTGGCAACATGTGTTATGCTTTGCTTACCGACTTCCAGATTTTTCTAGGAGCAATACCCTCTCCATCCTCAGCCTATCTGGTTTGTCCAAAGCTGACCCAAACCCATCTTCAGAGATCAGGCCCATTAAAGTATATCACACCCAGCCACATGAACTGGTCCAGGATAGACAGGTAACTGATTGATACTACCACTGGTCCCATAGCTGCTACATTGGGAAAGAGAAGCCCAAAGGGTTACTGGGAAGCATTTTACCACCTGAAGAAGAATATCTCCAAGACAAAAAAGTAGATGCAAGAGATTAAAAGTGACAGACACTAACTACCTTCCCTGAGTATATGAATCCAGCTACACTTGAACAATGAACTCCAGGATTTCTCAGCTAGCTGAGTTAATAATAGTCCTTCATTTACTTAAGCCAGCTGAAGTTGAGTTTCTGTTATTTGTTCCCAAAAGAACCACGACAAATACACAAATAGCCTATGTTCTTACTGTTCTACAGTCACTGTGTTCAAGACTCCACAATAGCATTTACTGTTTAATGGGCATGGTCTCAAGAAATTCCCAATGAAAATTTAGACAGAATAACTCTTAGGAAGTTTAAAATAATAAAGCAAGTCAATAGATTTTTCATCTCACAATGGCTGGCTTCTAAAATCCACTGCTAGTACAATAAAATCATTCCACATTACAAAAAATGTTGAATATATGTTTTCTCTTAAATATAGGGAAATGAGTTCCCCTAGGTTTCTGCTTCTGGTAGCAGGACTCAACTTGAGGAAGAGTTTATTTTGGCTCAGTTTAAAGGAACTGAGCAGGACCTTGAGATGGCTGGTCACATTGCATCCACAGTCAGGAGGAAAACAGGAATGACTTGAGAGAGCTGGCTTTCTCCTTTATATCCAGTCTGGGACCTTGGCCCATAAAATGATATTGCCCACGTTTAGGAGTGGTCTTCCCATCTCAACTAGCCTAATCTAGGTAATTCTTCGCAAACATGCCCAGAGGTTTGTTTTTTCACTAATTCTATATCCTGTCATGTTGATAATATTAACCATTGTGAGTACACCTCTTATCAATTTGACATCCAAACATACTACTTTTAAGCAGTAACCTTCTACCCCCCGATCCCCATAGGCTCATGGTCATCTCATAATGCAAAACACATTTATTCCAACTTCAAAATGTATCATCTTTAACAGTTCCAACACTGTTCAAAAGTGTAAGGGAAGAGTCTCTTCTGAGACTTAGGAAACCTCATAACCATGAGCTCCTATAAAATAAAAAACAAGCTATATACTTCCAACATACATAGAATAAGCATTCCCATTCCAAAAGAGACAAAAGAGAGCATGAAAGGAAAGAGTCCAGCATCTAGGACTTGTGATGGAATCACCTGGGCCCTAAGGCCATAGGTAGCCCCACCCCTCCAGCCCACACAGTCTCTTTCTTGAGCTGGCCCCACTCACATATGTAAGCTTTCCTCATCAGACATCCTATGATTCTGATATTTCCAGCATACTGCAGTCTCCATTGAAACTTGGGCTTAGCCTTCACAGCTCCACACAACAGACTCAGGGCCTCCTTTCAGGGACTTCATTCCTGACACACTCCCTGACCTTAGAAGCTCTATGAAACCATGGTGCAAGACTCTAAAATTTGCTCAATCTTACATCTTTCATGCCTGAAAAGCCAATATCATGTCAATAACACATGATTTTCTGTGAACTTGAGATGGAGTCTGGCCTCCTTGGTCACCAGTCACAGCCACCTCTGAGAGCTGACCCTGGAGAACATTTCCTGAGGCACTTGCTTTTCAGGAGCAGTGAATCCTTTCAGCAGCACTCTCAGCTCAGGTTCTCTCCTTCCAAATGAATTTGCATTTTCACAAGTTGGAGTCTTTGATGGGTGGAATCTTGTCCATAGGACATCTTTTCTACTGCTTCAGTGCAGAGCAAGAGGCTCCTCTTTAACAATTATAATCATTTTCAGCATGTACTTTGGCTACAACTTTAAGATTGCTCAAGATCTTTTCCTCAACAAATGTACAAAGAGATTTTAAAACACTGATTTTTTTTTTTTAATCTTTTAACCCCACTTGCTCTTTTTCAGGATAGACCTGGGTAAGGGTGGTGAGTAATAACCATGCATAGCCTGAATGCTGTCCTGCCTTGAAATTTCCTCTGCCAAACAAATTAGTCCACTGCTTCTGTATTTAGTCTCACTCAAATTCTCAGGACATAGGCAGAATATAGCCTACTCCTTTCCCAGAATACCCAATACAGTTCTCATTCCCCTCTGAAACCTCATGAGATGGGTCTCTACTGTTCACATTTATCTAAGTCTTCTGGTCTTTTAAATTCCCACCAGAATAGTCCATTAAGCTGCTTATAGCATTCAAGGGCTTTTTCTTTTCTTTTCTTTTCTTTTTTTTTCTTAAAGATTTGTATACATATGTGTGTTTGTATATGTGTGTGTGTGTGCGTGTGTGTACATGTGTGTATGCCATGTATGAGAGTGCCCATGGAAGTCAGAGGGTGCCAGATGCCCTGGAGTTGGAGTTACAGGCAATTGTGAGCCAACTGAACTCAGTTCCTCTAGAAGAAGAGCAAAGACTCAACTGCTGAGCCATCTCTCCAGCCCTTAGGGGCTTTTTCTAGCCCTAATTCCAAATTCTTATTTATTCCACCTACAAACCAGCTCCAAAGGCCTAAGAACCACATGACCAGACTTATCATAGCAATAATCTTACTTCTCAGTACCAATTTTCCATACTAAATACTTTATATATTGTTGGGACAAAATATCTGATCAAAAAAAATAATTAAGGAAGGAAGGGTTTATTTTGGTTAACAGTTCAAGGGTATACTCTATGATGGTGGAAAGGTCATGGCAGGAGCCTGAGGCAGCAGTTCTCATTGTATCCACACTCAGGAAGCAGAGAGCAATGAACACTTATGCTCAGCTAGCTTTCTCCTTTTCATTCAACCCAAGGCTCCGGTCCATGGAGGTACCATCCATGTTTAGAGTGAATCTTCCCATTTCAGTTAATCTATTCTAGGTAACACCTCTCAGGCTTGCCTCTTCAGTGAGTCTACGTCCTGTCAATCAGTATTAACCATCACATCCTCCAAGGTTCTGAAATAAAGGAAAGGAGGTGATTTTTGTTGCCTACCAGTGCTGTCAGGAAAAAAGCCTGTCCCTGTTGAGTGGAGGTGGAAGGTACAGCTCTGGCCTTGGATGGCACAGGGGTTTGCTTGGTCACCCTCCAGATCATAATCATGTTCCTAGGACAAACATGTTATGAAATAAACATAACACGTGGAATTGTGCTGAGATATCCATAGACACATGCAAAAGCAAACAAAAATGGATTCCAGGGGAACACGTCTAAAACCCACAATTATAGTCACATAAACTGCATCAAAAATGAATTCAGCTGAGTATGCTGGCACACACTTTTAATCCTAGCACTCAGGAGGAAAGGCAGGCAATTCTCTGTGAGATCAAGGCCAACTTGGTCTACATAGCAAGTCCCAGGTCAGCTGGGACTGCAGGTGACATTGATTTAAAAAAGAAAAAGATGAGTTAAAAATGCAAAATTTGAAATACAGTCCATCATGAGATGATAGGTGCAAAGTGAGATAGGATTAAACTTCAAGATTTCCTGATAAAGACTACAAAATATATTTTCAATAATTAAAGGTAAAAAGAAAAAGATGAAAAAATCAGAATTAGGCATGAAGGCACATGCCTCTACTCCTAGCACTAAGTAGGCTGAGGGAAGGGAGTAGGACTCTGTCTGGTTCCAGATCGGCTTGGACTACACCGTGAGTACCAGGCCAGTCTGGGCTGCAAAGTGAGAGCCCTGTCTCAAAAGACAAAAAAATGTAATTGGACAAAACCCAAATTTGTAAATCAAGCAACAAAACAGAGACTGAAAAACACCAGTTGCATGTTTGAGCCAACAGTCAAATAGATATGATTCTCAAACACATACGGAATGTTTACAAAATCTTAACTCCATCGTAATGTCACAAAGCAAATCTCTACAGAGAGCAGAAAGTCTGTATCTTACAAATCACAATTCAAGTTAGAGAGAAATCATTAAGAGGTGTGACTTAAAAGCACTTCTAAATAATGCATAGGCCTACAAAAAAAAAGCAATTGAACTTTTAAAATACTCTAATATAGAACAGGTAAGGAAATGTATCAAAATTTGCGGAAGGTAGAGAGATGTGCAGACTTCATGCTTATACATATAAGAAAGAGTAACTGAAATTTTATAAACAGAGAATGAATCTTAACTGCCTAGATGAAAAAATAGAAGAAAGTTAGCCTGGTCTGATGAGGAGCCAACGTTTTCTTCTTAATTTTGCAGAGAAGAAGCAGTTATTTTCTCCCCTAAAGAAACCTCTGTCACTTGGGTGAGAGAGACCTGGGTTTCTGGCAAAGTACTTATTTGACAACTTTCCCCAGAAAAGAAAATAACTGTCATTCATTGCAGTCCCACCAACAGTGGCAGGAGGACCAGTATGTGAGCCAGGCGCTCAGGCAAGAGAGACTCTGCATCCCTGGATGCCAGTATGCCCAGGCAAGGAACTTGGTTTGGTCTTCTCTATAAAGCGTTCTTGCTTCCCCATCTTCGTGTGCTGCTCACTTCTGCTCCAGTGCCAGGGGTCTCCTGGGATCATCTGCCCACAGTTTATGAGGAAACCTGCACTGCTGAGGTGTACTGCTTGGGAATGGAAAAATCACTGTGGACTGTTTCCTCTGAATCCACATCAAGGGAAAATGTCCACTTGCTTTATAGAAGAAATCCAATCTAAGTCCAAAGCGAACAGATCAAAGAGAACATGCTACAGGAAATTCACACTAGAAGGAAACTTTGTGCTGCCGAGCCTGTCAGCTGGTCTGCAAAGACGTTCATCGCCTGACCAAGAGTAGAGTGCCTTGAAAA